GGGTGTGAAAGCTATATTTGATACCAGCTGCAGTAGAGACTTGACCCTAATAGAATCTTGTAACGAGTTCATGGTGCGATATAAACAACCCCGAAGTACAGGTAATGGGGAGTCAAAGCCACCTTTGCCTATGATATCTTCCGCATGTCCAGGTAATGGCTTCATTTACTTTGGTGTTTGTCTTAATTTCTTGCTTGAGATTCTACGATATGTTCTAATTCTACTGGTGTTGAAATTGCAGGTTGGATATGCTACGCTGAGAAGACCCTTGGGTCTTACATTCTTCCATACATTTCTTCAGTCAAGAGCCCCCAACAAACTATCGGAGCAGTCGTTAAGAATTATTTATGTCAAAAGCTAAGTGTAAGGTAGCTTGTTGTCATCTTTGTCTTTTAAGCATTGTGCATCATATGTAAACTGTAATTTTTATTTTTGTGTTGTTGAACTGTAATGCTTGGACTTTACGTGTCTACCTCAAAAAGAAGAATCAGTCATAAGTTGCTGTATTGCAAATATGCACTAAGCAATCAACTTTTGCTGCCTGTTGTGCTTCCCATCCATTTTATGCATCCTACAGAAAGTTTTCAGAGAAATCATTTCTTTCTCATTTACAGTGAAAATCAGTGCTGACAGATTGATATTTCAGGATATATGATATTGCATGTTAGTTGGTGAAAAGTTAAAGTTTTTATAATGTTCCTTAAATCGAGCTGTTAGTTGTTGGACCTGATCGCAGTCAATTGGTGCTTGATAGATTTGCTTTTTGTACAGACCAGAGGATATATATCATGTTACGGTAATGCCATGTTATGACAAGAAGCTCGAGGCTGCTCGTGAGGACTTTGTGTTTCAAGTGGATACAGATAGTGAAAAAATTACGGAGGTTGATTCAGTTCTGACAACAGGAGAGGTTTTGGATTTGATACAGGTAAAGAAAGTTTTCTGCTTCTCAGTATTACTTTCTCTCAGAGCAAAAATGTGAGAGAGCTTGCATTTAGAGTACTTACAGTTATTCTCCTTTCTATCTTCTGTTTCACTCTTTTTAGGTTTTGTTCTTTAAAAAGGGCACTATGTTGTTTACTCATAGTCAAACTCTCTCTTTGATGTAGTTAAAAGCAGTTAATTTTCAATCCTTGGAAGAGTCACCCTTAGATAAGTTGTAAGCACTTTTATACACCTTCCATTTATTTCATTTGTTAATGCAAATCCTTACAATTGAGTGTTTATATGCTCTCTAAAGGTTTGCCAATATCGATGAGGAGGGCCATCTTTATGGGGTTCACGGA